TATGGACAAAAAGACTTGTTAAGCTGTCGGTTAGTTAGCCATTGCGGTATCGAGGAAAATGTGTACTAGTCGTAAATGATTATATATTTTTTCAGAAACCCCGTCGAGTAAAAAGCTGAGAATCGGATCGACCACACATTTTGTTTGTACCGGTGCAACCAATAAATAGAAACATTATTTGTTAAATGTGGTTGTGTACTTTTCAGGCATGGGGCGTTGGCAGGTGTACGACGTATGGATGTGAAGGGCCGCCGTTTGTCGTTGGATTGGTCTATTATGTATAGTTAGCACATCATAGTCAGCTTCGAGCATTTACGCGGGCCCGGCAGCTACTGTAAGTAGCCTCGGCAGGCGACATCGAGTATGGTTCTGAGTATGACCTGCCGACGATGCTCATTGGACTGGGCAGTTGGGCATAGTTGAAGCCTCATAATCGGCGTTGTACATAAACACAGGCCTTGCAATTACGACAAGCAGCTAAAATAGGCAATGTCGACTATAGTTACGAGGGCGGACGTTGGCCGTTAAATTAAGATACCACACATAGTTGGAGTCTCGTTTTTCTCGGCTCGCATTGATAGTGGCCTGGTGTTTACCATAGGTATCAGGTATAAGCGAAAGCGCGCACAGTTATGGGTATGACCGATCATCATCGGCAGTTAAATTAGGACAATGCGCTCAGTTGAGGCCTACTAATCAGCGTCACGTATAGATACTGGCTCGGCAGTTTCAAAAAGTAGTCAAGGTAGGCGACATCGCGTACAGTTGTGGGAATGAAGTCCGTCGTTCGCCATTAAATTGGGTACGTGTTCATAGTTTAGGCCTTGTATTCATTGTGTCGCACAAACACTGGCCCGGTGTTCTTCGCAAGTAGCTAAGATAATCTACAACATGTGCGGTTACGAGCACGAGAGATTAGGTTGGATTAAGTTACCGCCTGATCAACGCCGCACGTGGACACGTAACTAGCAGGTACGATAAGTAGCCAGGTAAGGCGACATCGAGTATAGCGATGAGTATGACAGACCATCAGATTAGGCTGTCACGCATAGTTCAGGCCTCATTTTTACGCGCACTCACGGATACTGGCTTGGTGCTTACTATAAGTAGCATCGCGCATGGTTATGGGTATGGAAGACCTCGTTGGCAACTGGATTAAGTAACTGAGCATAAGTGAAGTCTCATAATCTGCGTCGCTAATGGATGCGGGCCCGGCAGTATTAGAGGTGAGCGACAACGCATAGAGTTGAGAGTATAAGGGGCCGTCATTGGCCATTGGATTAGGCTAACGTGCGTAGGTGAGGCCCCATAATCAACGTCGCACATAGACACGGACCCAGCAGTTACGATAAGTAGTCGATGTGAGCGACAACGGCTACCGTCATGATGGCGAAAGCCTTATGGCATTAACCCCTAGAACGCGTTATATTCATAATAGGAACAATACCTGCAGCTACCTCGTGACGCTGTCTTACCTACAGTCCAGTTGTACATATCTGGGAAAGGGCACTATCCACAGATATGGATCTTGCATCGCTACTGCACAGTTCATGCTGTTGTCTAACAACGTTGTGCTTAAGTCGAGTTAGGATTCATGGGAAAAAGTGCTGTGACCAGGTTCGCCGAACAAAATATGTTTTGCAGCTATAATTGCAATTATATAATTATAATTATAATTGTTAAAGCTGAGGTGTGCGAAGCAGACAAACGTCGACAAGGGGCCTTCTCTATTCATTATTCTCTTGTTTTAATATTCCATATGCTGTACATATTCGCCAATTCGAATACATACGTGCTGGTTGCCACTCTTCGTTGAATTCTGGATTTCTAGTTTGTCGGGTTGTACCGATATACGTACGAAACTTAATTACCACATTAGCTTACTTAAACAAAGTGCTATGAGCAACATCTCACCAGAAGGTGCAAGCGGATTGAACTCACTTCCTGTTAAAATCACAACTTCGAAAATAATTTGGGTAAAATTGTAACCGGCGGCGGCTTTGCATAGGATCCACAAAAGCGGTGGGAACTTACGTGGAAGAGCTACTTTTGCTGCCTAATAGGAACACGCACTTTTATGTTTGCCGAAACTATACGACGTTTGAATTTTCGAACTCTTAAGGAATTTAGTATATATCGCTTGTACCTGATTCTTTGCTCATAGCTTTTTGTTTTAATTGAACAAAATTTCAAGGTCACGGACAACCACTGGTTTGCATTTAGTTACCGATTTACAGGAGATTTACCACGAAATCGTCCTTCAGCATATTGTGGCATATTGCAGTCTTCCACACAAACGAGGTATATTCTGCACCATGCCAACTAAAAATTCCAGCCAGGAAAGAATTAGTATAATTTCTGCATGCGTAAACCTCCCAAACGCAGCGATGGAGATGAATCTGTTTGGTGACCTTTGGCAGTACACTGTCGGACGAAAAGCCTTCTCCCGTTCACTTAAGTTGATGCACTGAAGTACCGTTGATAGTATACACCTCGATGGATGATCTCCATTCTCCGACATAAACAAGTGGTCAACCGATAGTGGAGCGTTATGAAACAACCGAATGTTAAGTAACAACAGAGCGATATCTTTACTATTGGAGATAATCCCATCGCTTAGTCGTCAAGCGAAAATTCACTGGCGGAAAATAAGGCCAATTACTGCCGGTCATCGCTATAACAGTACATGCTTTCGCCTAACTTGAATGCTTATAGTAGACGCTAGTCCCGTGTCTATGTGCTACGTTGAGTATGAAGCCTTAGCTATACGCGGTAACTTAATCCAATGGCAGAAGACGGCCAATCATACTCAAATTGCAACGCAATATCGCTTATCTCTACAAATTAAACCAACCAATAACCAAATATCTATGCGGGCCGATAAACTGTGGCATCAACTATGCGTAATACCCTACTCACGACCATACCTGTAAGTGTTGCGGATTATATTCACCATTTATGGTAAAGACGGGAAAAGAATGTATCCGTGCTGATAAAAATGAGGCCTCAACAATGCTCGATAGCTTAATCTAACTTACGGTGACTGCCCGTCATACTCATAATTGTGCTTGATGTCGCCAGCCCTGGCTTCCTATCGTGACTGCTTGGCCACTGTCTATGTTCGTCGTTGATTTCAAGCCCATAGCTGCGTGCGGTGACCTAATCCAATGGCCACTCCAATGGCACGCCATACTCATAGCTGCAATCAATATCGCCTCTCTTGACTACTTCATCCAGCGGCTTTTAGGACGCTTTCATTCATATATTCTGAACCTTTCATTAGAATTTGACCATTTTGGTGGATTTTTAGCCGGTGTTTTCCCAAAAGTCAAAACTTTTCGGTGCAGTTCACGTTCCGGCTTGCGCATTGCCACCAACTCACTCGATCGAGGAACGATTACAGCAGACTCTCCTATATGAGCGACACCAGCCAGTCCGCAATACCTATTGTCACCATTCTGAGATCCCTACTACCATTTCTCATCGATCATGCAATCAATTCGACACCTCCAGTTACACTTTTCATGGCACTATCCAAAAGCCCAACAGTCCAAGACAGCCATTCGCGACCAGTATAGGAAAGAGCCTTCCACCGTTGTGGTTAGCGTACCTCAATGCAAAGTCAAGAATTTCGTCATGGCCAGCAAGTTCTGTCTTTTATCTATGGACAGCACACGCTTTCGGCCGCATGAAATGTTAAAACTTAGAGTGTACCGAGATCTTGTTAGCGCTGTTGGAAGAATTTGGGGTTTATGAGCAAAAGAAGCAGACCGCGCAATCGTGTGGCCAGTGCTTTCAAAAACTGGCAAAAATTGAAAAGACTGGGTCGGTTTTGTGTGCTCGCATAGCACAATCGTCCGAGAAATAACACGCGAGGCCATCAGACTCAGTATGGTAGTTGCAGTAACGTCATCACAACGTCGAACTGGAGTTCATGCACAGCCTCACGCTTGTACATTTTGGGTGAGCCGTTTGGGACTATGATTGGCCAAGGAATCGTGAAAAATTAGGACTGGCACGGAGCAGGGATATTCTTGAGTCTCCCGGAAGCGCATGGGGACTCATTGGAAAAAATGTGAGTGTCTAGTGTTATTATATGTTTGTACAATGAGGTGGCCACAGAACGGCGCAGTTACAGCCTGAAGAGTAGCAAAATGCTCTGAAAAACAAATTGCCTCAGATGCGTTATGCCGTGTGTTTTTAGTGAGTTCCTGTTGATAGTTTTCTCCCCGCTATCGATGAACTTTTCGATTCATAGGACGATTGCCAAGGTTATATTCCAAACCGGGACAATCTCACGCCAGGAACACAGGTGTCAAACAACTGTTGCTTTCAATATAGTTTTCTCATTCCTCCGTTACAGAGGGCGGGGTATGAGCTTCAGCATACGGTAGAAATATCTACGGGGAAAAGACTTACAGGCAAAGCGGGAGTTGTTAACCGTCTATCTTTTGAATCATCGTGGTCGAGAGGGTCCGGAGGGGGTGGGAATGGCGCGGAAAGATATAGAGAGCTGCCCAAAAGCCTCTGTACACAAGCGCTGTCCATCAGGATTTGCCACGCAGTCCATTCTAATTAAATTTTGCAACTGATTAGATAATGAGGCGATCAATGAAATGTCTGCTGAACTCCGGTTTTCAAGTTTTTCTAACGAAGTCCCTGCCGATCTGGAAAATGCCCCCTTGGAGCCTTGGACTCAGGCTCAAACCCGGTGTACAACTAGTAAGTCTGCTACTCACTCAACTCTCGGCTCCTCACCCTCGAAGGTAGCAGAGACAGTGTTGAAATGCTCGTTCACAAACTTCCTCAGTCTTTTCAACAAACTCGGCGATGTTAAACAGTCAGCTTGTCTTGATCAACCGTCCATAATCGCACTCACGGAGACCTGGCTCACACCAGATGTCTCTGACGCGGAGACCCCGATAGACGATTACTCTATTTTTTGAGCCGACTCAAAACGAGGGCGGGCAAGTGAGGTTGCTCTGTACCTACATGCGGTCCTACCAATCCCGATTGTCCTCTCTGACACCACCCCTGCACCCTTTTGCGGTGCATCGTGGGTCCAAATCCCGCCGCGCGGGTCCGATGCTCTTCTTCTCGGTGTGGTCTACCGTAGCCCCTGGAGTCCCCCTGAAGATGAGCAATTCCTCACACAAACCCTTGGGCAACTCTCCTCCAACTACCACTTCACTCATCTCCTGCTGGTAAATGACTTCAATGCCCCAAAGGCATCCTGGATGGAACTCCAGCGCGTCGAAGCAGGCGGACTTTTTGCAGCGGCGCTGTTAGAAGTCGTTCAACAGGGCTCTTGGACCCAACATGTCGCTGCACCCACCAGATACCGCGCAGGCCAGCAACCATCCCTCTTGGATTTGGTCATCACCAACGAAAGACACTTCGTTGATCAGGTAAC